TTTTCAGATATAATTGGTTAACTCTCGGCTCAGATGGAAGTAAATCGGGTGGATCCCGTGAATATTTCGGTAATTAGAGTATATAAGTACTCCAACGAATTTTTCGAGGAAACTGAATTAATTCGTCATTTATTACCAAAAGAAATTTAAATCAACAAGAAAACTGAGTCGGAACCAATTAGATGAATTACTTGATCTGACTGGGTCAGATTTTTACCTTTGTGGGGTTCATACCAGCTGCATCCCCGTTGTGAACCCTGAGTAATGGCTAAGTGCTGGTGAAGGTTGATACTTTAAAAATAAGTGCTTCACTACACGTTGAATTTATATGAACACCTCATAATTGAAATTTAAAAAACTGCTTTTAGAGGGAGAAGCGGAGAATGGGAGGTCCCGTATATCTACATGAGCTTATACGTTAGTAAGCGTAGTAGCTCAGGGAGGTTAATTTCATTTATAGCAGTCAGTTTCTGACACAATATATGTCGAAATACTTCAAGATCACATATGAAAAACTTAATATTTACCTATTAGTATCCCCGGGAAAATTGGAGTTCCAATATTAGTTAATTACCAATATTATCCCTGATGTTCTCACAGAGATGAGGCTCTTTAGAGACAGCCTGGTTCAAACTCCAGAGCAATTGAAATTTTCATATGCTGCAATCATTGAGGGATCCAAAGAGCTGTTCTCTTACAAAGCGGACATGCATCAAGACAAATTGTTTTCTCAATCTCCGGCGAAGAAAGACAGAGGAGGAAGAGAGCTTGGAGAGATCATTCTTACTGTGAATTGTCAACATTAATATTGGTATCATCGCCTTATGCAGCGGTTATAGTTATGTGAGACGATAATGCAAAAAGGCAGAGTTCGAGGAAAAAAAAGAAACATTCATTTCCTAATTTAATCTCTACACACACTATTGTGTACGAAACTGGGAGGGGTGCCAATTACACTGTTAAAAATTTTTGGTTAAAATTTTTCAATACACTTTTTGGGATTTTTTTATCAGATTTTAGTTCCATTCAAATTTCAAGAAATTTCGTCATTGAAAATTGAGAATTCCATGGAAAATCAATGAAAACTGCAAAATTCAGTTCAATTATTCCCTGAAAATTTGTAGAAATTAGGAAAACTTCGGTAAGAATACTCTTCAATTTTCAATTAATTCAAAATTCAAATAATTCATTGAATTTTCTGTGAAACCTGAAATTTCATTATCCTCCTCCGCCCCTCCCGCCACGCTAAATCGCATTTAATGCCACTGTTCTGAAAATGATTAGTCGACTGTTTATGCAATTTCAATTTTTATCTAACACTGTATGAAGACAAAATTATGTGCTGACAGCCTGTGATCACTTGATATTTAATAAAAATCTTTTACCTAGTTACACATATATGTTGGCAATACGGAATTTTTATTTCATGATCGGCATCCTGTAGTTCATACTATATAGTATGCTTTAAAACTAGACCGTGAGGAACTTTTCTGTATAATCCTATGAGACAGAAAAGTTCTGCACGGCCGTTAATCAAGCAATATTTTTTTTCACTTACAATCAGTCCGCGAGTAGTGATTCACGGACGTGAAGCAGCCACTTTTCAAATACTTGCTCCAAATGCAATTTTTGCAAATGAACCGGAATCAATAGAAGTACAAGTAGGAAATTACTCCTGCATTGTATATAGTATAGGTATTTCTGCTAATAAATTGACAATATACTTCCGAATGGTTATTTTGCACATCATTTCCTTCTAATATGTATAATTCATTGTTCATTCCATTTTATTAAATTGAGTAAGATTTCCTTTTACCTAATTTTGGCAGATTTCAACGTAGTCGAATGTTATCAGCATCATTATTCTCATTGTCCCTTTTCCTCTATAGTATAGAGTCTATACAACCGATTATCTTTTTTTTTACATTTTATCTCTCTCGGTGGCTTGGCGCAGTGAGCAAGTTCGTTGCCTCACATCTCACATGCGCAATGTGTTCTGAGTTCAAATCCCGGCCGGGTAGAATGGTGCGTTCTAACCATTTAAAGTCTTGATCATCACAGCATCTTGATCATCATCAGTAAAATAACGATAAAAAAAAGTTCTATCTCTCGCCTCAGCCCTATGATAAATTGTTAATAAAAAAAAATTATTTACACATTCTTGAATGAATTTGAAACATCACATTTGAAGAAACCATCGGAAAACTTACTTTCAGAGAAGTTCATGAAAAATTCAAAATTTTCACCAATCATCATAAACATCAAATCAACCAATATAGCTATCGTAATCATCTTTTAACTTCGGCTTAATGGCATTAAAACAAAGATTTTGAGCTATGATCGAATTTATTTGAAGCATGATATTCAAAAATATCCCCGGAATTCTGATTTTTAAAAAATACAAAATTTTTTCAAGTTTTCGAAAAAATCAAAATAACGATTATTGCTATCGCCTCCATCTTCGAACTCGGTCAAAGGGACATCCAAACAAATTTCTTAAGCCATCATTCAATCAATTCAGAAAATTTGTTTAGTTATCGTGGGACAACCGATTTTCTAAAGAATTCAAAAATTAAAAAAACTAATGCGTGAATTGAATTTTAATTCATGTCGATCAATAGGGCTCAACAATACCTACATTTGAAGAAAAAGATTCAATTCCATCAATTCATTACCGAACAATTGATGAAAAACTTTACCATACACATACATCCATCCACACCCCGTACGGACACGGTCTAAAAATTGCATTTTCGGACTTTTTAAATCATAATGGATCGATATAACACAACCAAATTTAAATTTGAACGATTATAGTGCTTCCATTTGGAAGCAAAAAACATTCGATCGTCGAATGCAGCATAATCTCGTACATAATGGGAATAAATTATTGACTTTCGGTGGATGGATAGCACAAAAGTGGAAGACATTGTTTCCAAATTTGAAAGTAAGTATCTATATCATACGGTGTACAATCATTTACTAAAGTTCTGAAACAATCTGAACTTGCATCCTATCTATTTTGTTTCAGAACTTTAGTAAACGAGTGTATGTTCATGCACCGATGGCATCATGTCCAAATATACTTAGATAGAATTTAGTCATATAAGCGCCATCTAACGCCGCTATGCAATACTATTTCGAAAATATAATGAAAAATGTAGTCACATAATCATTGTCGACTCCAAATCAGTTTTTTCTGTAGTCGGCAAAAAAGAACGTAGTTAAATGTCTACATGCCATTCGATTTCCGATCATCGATAACCGATGAATAGTTCAAAGAATGATATCACGGGGAAGCTTCGTTGGTCCAGTTATCTGGAAGCCCCAGTGTTTAACCAACAGGTGGTGTGACCATGACAGTGACCATGACAGGTGATGGTAACCAACGCTCATTGCATTTGAGCGTCATATTCACTATCATTTCATTCCGCATTCTTATAATTTCATCTATTTTCACAAAAAATATCCATCTCTTCATCCACTACTTGTTCTCTCTTATGGCTCTTCATAGAATCGTGGATTGAGGAGACCGAGGCAAAATGAGATTAATAAATACATGCAAAATGCAAATCATCAGTAAGATGACGAGGATTTTGGTGCAAATGAGAGGTCTTTCTTTTCTTTAGTTTTACTGCATTTTTATGGTTCAAGCAGGTACCTTACCGATTAGGTTGAGAAAAATTCGATTCAATTATGGAATTATTTTGAGAATGAGTTGATTTTTAACCCCTCACGTATGGGGTCGATACCATGCGAATGTGAATGACTCTCTTCAAAATTGATTATTTTCGAAATTATGGAAAGTAACTCAACCAAACCAATAACAACGGAAAAAGGAATACTGTAGCTTCAATTACATATCAGTTGCATAACTTTCCGTTGATTAGAAACTATTGTATGTGGGTTGTATTGAGTGTGCAACACGCTTGGAAACAACGCTTTCGTTATTACTGTATCTGCTAAAAGTGACCGGGGCAAAATGAAATTAAAAAATGCATGTAAAACGCAGTCTCATTTTGCCCCGGTCCCTCTTTGTAGATAGAATAATAACGAACCCTCTCCCTTTGCTAGTATTTTATTAAAGGTTGACTCGTTCTCAAGATAATCTGATCACTGAATCGAATTTTTCCCAACTATCAGGAGTGTGCCTACTTCAGTCATAAAAATGCAGTAAAACTAATGAAAATAAATAACTCTCGTTGCATCATACTCCTGATTATTTCACTGATTTTTCAGAAGGAAGAGGTTCGTACATTCGCATTATGAAGAATCGAAGAAAAGACGTTGACTTGCAATAAGCTAAACATTACAAATTGAGGTGACAATTCATGGACAAGATCTGATCATTATGAGCGAGAATTTCGAGCTTAAACTCGAAATAAAAAATAGATATAGAGTGTTGGAAAAAAAAGAAATGTCCTGGACAATAAACTGTGTCAATAATTTGACTGAATTGTTTTTTAAGCTCTCACCCGTTAAATATATGAGCGAATCCGCCAATTCAGAATATGAAAAATTGCCTCAAAATTCAAAAACTCTTTTTATCGAAAAGCATAGTCCAAAAGAAGAAGAATGGGCGCAACCAGAACTCTAACTTAATTATTGGCAAAGATATTGAAGTTTGATTTTTTTTCTTCTAAAAACTTTGTTTTTCAATTCTAGTTACGAGCCACTAAGACCAATAAGAAAAAATTTGAACCCAGGGATTCCGTCAGAAATTTTCTCAGCTCTTCGAAAAAAATATTGTTTTTTATGTATCTATGTATTTTGGCATAGAAAATTCAAAAAAAAAAAAGTGAAATGGCCATTTAGGGTCGTTCCTCAACCCTTTTGTTTTCACCGCAGAGTCCAGAAAATTTTCTGACAAAAACATTTTTATTATTGGTGCTTTTGCAAACTCAGAACTGAAATGTATGCAATTGATAAATGAGTTTACTAGAAATACCAAAAGAGGGCGCCACGAATGATCTTATGATTCTTCCACTGTGGCCGGCTGAGCAAATGCAGACGCCTGACGCTCCTACGTTTCTGAACATCAACTCTTTTGTGACTCCACTCGCATTGTCAATTCTATGTGCATTTATACATAGGTAATAGTATACCAGTGGATTACCTCGACAAGCGTATTTCCTGGAAAAGAAGTGAATTAGTGAACGAATCCATCAGTCTCGTACACATGCCAGTGCTTCAACTCCATCTCCTAAAGAGTAAACCCTAAACCGTGCAAATTGAAGTGAACAGTTGAGTCAAACGGAGCACAATTTTTTTTGCGTAGAAAAGAATTGAATAACCTTACTAATACGAGTCTGTGCGCCGTCTGCCATAGTGACAAACTCATTTCCTTTTCCTTTTAAAAAAATCAGTGGAGAAATAATTATTACTTGGATCCATGGTAGCTCTCGTTGCACAATGACTCTCTGGTACTGAATTAGCTTCGTTCAACGGAATTTCAAGATTCCAATGAAGGGAGACAATTGATGGGAATTGGCGAAAAGTAGCGTGAGGGTGTTTAATACAAGTGTATGTGTTGATAAACATAATTTGTAGTGGTGAAAAGGAAGAGAAATCACAGTTTCACAAAGAAAAATGACAAACGAAATAAAACAGCCAGTTAGCAATCTCGAAACGGAATATCTGGAGATTAATTCAAAGAATGCATGGCCGATATTTTATCAGCAAATTCGGGACGAATGTTTTAAATTTAATTATACGTGCAATGAATCGAGAAAACCGAGGAATAAAAATCTCAATCGTTACAGAGATGTAGCGCCTTATGATCACACCAGAATTATTCTCCAAAGAGGATCTTGTGATTACATCAATGCTAGTTTCATCATGGTAGATCGTGCACACAGACATTACATACTGACTCAGGGACCTCTGCAAAGTACCTCTGGACACTTTTGGCTGATGGTGTGGGAGCAAAACTCCAAAGCTATCATCATGCTTAACAAAGTCATTGAGAAGGGTCAAGCTAAATGTGATCAGTACTGGCCACTGGAGACTTCGGAGGATCCGTCAATGACGTTCTTTAATGTTAACCTCAAAGTTGAATTTGTCAGTAGAACACAGGCACACGACTACACTACGCGAGTTTTGAGATTAACTGATTTAGATTCGCAAGAATCTAGGGAAATTCTTCATTTTCATTATACGACGTGGCCGGATTTTGGAGTTCCACAGAGTCCAACCGCGTTTCTGCAGTTTCTGAATGATGTGAGGAGGTCTGGAGCCCTTGACTGGGGTGTGGGATCACCGATTGTACATTGCTCTGCTGGAATTGGAAGATCTGGGACGTTTTGTCTTGTTGATACTTGTTTGATGTTGGTAAGTAATTTTTTCATGTTTTTCTCAGTTATTGAAATGAGCAAAAATAATTCGATCGTATTGCCGAATTATACGAAATATATTAGGGGAGGTTGGGGTAGAATGGACACTTTTGACTTTTTTTTCAAATGTTAATAACAGCTTGAAATATTGATGAAATTCAATAGTTTTTTTTTCAATGCAAAGAACATTTCTTTCCCTTTGTAATGAGCTTAAACTGAGCTCAATTGATAAATTTGTTTCTAAGTTATGAGTAATTTAAAAAAAGTTCAAAGTGTCCATTTTACCCCATCCTCCCCTACTCATAGTGACATCACAGTTTCTGAAAAGGCTGTTTGTAAGCTCTCCACCAACGTTGCATTAATGTTTACTAAATACTATGTACAAACTACAAAGCATAATTCCAGAAACTGTGGTATAAGAGAGAGAATTAAATAGCTTTTTTCAACGTCCAATACCTTAAGGGAGACTACTATGAGTTTTAAAAGTCGCGGAATATTGGAATGAAATTTCTCATACATTGAAGTTCGATTATATGTGTCTAAAAACGAATAATTAGTGCAAAAAATTAATTGTTTATTGTTCGTTTGCCCCGCAAACATTTAAAATGTTAAAAATAGTCCAGGGCCTTTTATTTTTTGAGTTACAGAGGTTTTTTCTTCAATATTTTTGAAAAAAGATGTGCAATAATAATTAGGAATTAGTTTTTTGAAATTCAACACCTACACAGCTAATTTTGCAATTTTTTAAATAAAAAATTGCAATATTCATGTAAAATAGCCGGAAATATGTTTCTAAAAGAATCTAAAATGTTTTTTAAATATTTTAAGGGTAATTTTTCCGTCTATTTTACATAAACGGCGCAAATTTTTATATTAAACAAATTTCAAAAAACTATTCTTAACCTTTTAGACGTCGACGGGGCAAACGAACACTAAACAATCATTTTTTTCACTAATTATTCGTTTTTAGACAGATAATCGATCTTCAATGCATGATAAATCTCACTCCAATAGCTCGCGACTTTTAAAACTCGTGGCAGTCTCCCCTTAAGGCTGGCCGAGTGAAATTGAAAGATTTTCTTCTCTTTCAAAGGCATTTTTTCATGCTTTACAATAAACTCTGACTCGTTCAAATTGTAGCATTGAGTTGGAAGAAATTAAACATTAAAGGAGACCCATTTTTGTGACTACATTATTCTTCAATCATTTATTCACCTGGCCTCCCATCAAATCAGCAATATCTCTTCATTCTACTTGCAGATTGAAAAGAATGGACTGAACTCTGTCAATGTCCGTGATGTTCTCGTGGAGATGAGGCGTTCGAGAGTGGGATTGATTCAGACCCCAGATCAATTGAGATTCTCGTATGCTGCTATCATTGAGGGATCCAGAGGGCTGCCATCTAACAACGTGGTAACTAATACCAGTTCACAGTGGACACATTGCTCTTAAACTTGTTGAAACATACAATTTAGTTTACCAGCAGTGTTCTACTGTGATGCTGCATCATGTTCGATGTTTCATATGTTCATTTGACAATTTCAGAATGGTGCAACGATCGAGAATCACTACGACATTGTGAACAACATTCACAACCTAGTGAATCAGAATAATGTGGAGGTGGAGGAGGAGGAAGAGGAGGAGGATGACGATGAACCACCGCCCCTGCCACCACCTCGAGGAGAGTCTCTCACCAGGAGCGTCATGTCGGATCAACTGAGCAATGAGTCGACTCCTGAAAATGGTCATTCTTACTCAAATTCTCCTATTCTATAGTGTTCAAAATTTCTGGTTGAAATTTCTGCAATACTCTTGGCTTCCACAGTGGATAGATCCACTGAAATTTGCAATGGAAATTGTAAATTTTATTACCTTTTCAGGAAAATCTGTAATTTTATGGCTTTTTTCGTCCTAAATCGAATTGAATGTCACTCTCCCGAAAATTACTAGTCAATTACTATTCATGAAATTTCAATTTTTTCAGTATACTAGCTAAAAACTTTGATAAAATATTAATACTGATGAATTTTGTTGTAACTGTTTAGAAATTGAGCCTCGCCCTCCGAATAAACCTCTACCCATGGAGCCAACACCGAAAATATCGAATTCACACAACAATGAAGATCATACACCTAACAGCTCTCATCCGTAAATATAAATTCCATTTTCTTTCCAAGAACAGGAAATTCCTGTATTCTAATGATAAAACGTAATAAGTCGAAAAACACATCTTTCTTAATTATGTACTTATCTCGGAATTAATTGATTTCAGCAGAAAATATCCCAAGTCTTTTCTTGTTGTTAAGGAAATTTTCCTCGTTGACATTTCATGCTACCATCATTATTCAAAATTGTTCGACTCATCATGTTTTATCATTTTATTAGCAATTTGTGCTTTACATTTTCCCAGAATAATTTTATTTGATTTTGTGGAATAATCGTTTGATGTCCTGAACTCCTAGGAACAACGAATTACGTCATCGTAATCAAGAGAAAAGGGAACGATTGGCTACGCAGGTGCGGGATATGAAACGACGACAGAAAGAGACGGAAGACTGGCAGAATTTCAAGAGGTCATTATTCAACCCAGTTACAATAGGAATAGGTAGCGTAATCATTGGTGGGGGTGTTATCGCGTTATGCAGTTATCTGTATGTCAGAGGGTAATACTGAGGAGAGCAGAGAACAGAACGGCAAAAAGAGAAAGAAAAATGATGAAAATTTATTTTTTATTCCTTCTGATTCATTTTTCCTTCTCAATTTAATGAATTAGGCTCAATCTTAAATATTGAGAGATCGTTAAGATTATTTGAATTTAATCAATTTATTCGAAATGATATTGTTTGTTCATAAAAGTATCAATTTATTTTTGAATTTACGATGAGCCCCAGGGTAACGTTACTCAAAAATAAAATTGAAGAGACACCAGAGAATTAATTCTAAGTAACAGAGAAATGATTGGAGTGTTCTTCGTATTTGTATTTTTGTATTCCAATACCATAAAAAAAAATGACAACAATGTCTAGAATATTTGGAGAGTGAAGAAACTCATGAATTTTCTTCACCCTTTGAAGGAAATCAACCCGATATTTTTTGCAATTGGTTCAAGAGTAAAGGACAACATTGGAGAAAAACAAAAACAAGACTTCGTAAAATGAAGAGAGAGATGTGTATTTTTTTAAATTTTTATATATCAATAACGCAATCCGTATGGCAGAAAACCGAAATTTGTACCCTGAAAACACATTGACTGAAATAATGGTGGTAAGTTTTTTCAGCATATATACCACGTCTTTCATACTTCTCTTCATAGTAATTGTTCTTGTTTAAAATTTTGAGAATAATCAATGAAGTTTATTCCCAAAAATTATTAGAATTTGCATGGGCCACCAAAATCTCTTCAGGGTATTAAATACTAAACATTATAGAAGGAGAGAAAAATAAGAAATGAATGAATTTAGAAATCTAGTAATCATCCTATTAATCCAGTAGATGAAACAATACATAAACTATGTAAATCTAGTTTTCAATTAATCGAGGTAAATCCACGTAAATGTTTTGTCCCTCCCTAAAGAATGGAGATGAATGAGTAATCGTCTAATTAATAATGTGAATGTATGGAGGGTTTTCTTTTTTTTTAGAAAAAGATGAATTATCTGTGGTAAAAAAAAACGAACCCAATGAAATATCTTGGTATATTCATTTCGTGCTATTCCTGACGTCCTAATTTAATGATCTAAAGAACGAGATTGAAACCGGAGTAACATTCCACCAGACACTATAAATCCCATACAAATGGACGTTAATTCATGAAAATCTCCCAGGAGTGTGAATCACTTTGCCCAGACGTCTTACATGTACAGAAACATTTTATTTACCTGACAAAAAGGCAAAAGAACCAATACAAGTCATCTGCTGTTGCATTCTTAGTGTACTTCACCTGATGAATCTAGACACGGTGCTAATAACAATTAAACATAAACAGGACAAGTGAATGGAAAAAAAAGAAGTTTAACAAGTGTATAATAAGTGCGAAAGAATTCAATAAGTATGAGTCAACGGACGCGTATCTAGATTTAAACCGGACAGAAATGATGAATCCTAATTTTATTACAAATCGAACCAGAATAAGAATCAACTAGAACCCAATAAAAAGAGAATAATTTACCCTCATTTGCTATTTTTTTGTACTCAAGACCGTTCACTTTCATCAATAATCCAGTAAACTTGAAAAAAGTGCCTATCATGGTTCTGATGAATGACTGTTGGTATTATAACACTAGAATCTGAATATACAGAAGTAAAACAGAGGAAAAAAACAAAACAGGTGTCATCATAAGAATTAAGAGAAGACGAGAGTGATGAGCCATCTGGAATTTCACGTTCTTTTCATATGAAATAAAATGAATTTTAAATACAGACGCGACATGAAATATTTATCTGTATTTGTATATTATTTTTCTTTGTCTTGTTTTGTTGCAAATTTTCTTTTCTCGTTTTTTTTCTATTTCAAAGCAAACAAGAGATCTTCATCTGGTACTTGATTTCAGATCAAAAAATGAAACAACGGAAACGAGCCCTGATACTGTTCACGAGGAGGCAGAATCTACGATATGAAAATAGACGTATTTACTTGGGATATAGTAAACACAAAACAGCTGCATATAAAACTTATAAATAAATTTTTCTCTTACAAACCACGAATTGATAATAATTTGCGTCGTTTTTTTTTCAATACTTGGTGTATCCGGGAGAAGAGGGAGAATTGTATATTAATTCAACAAAGGTTATCACCGATGTTTTTGATAATTTCAATAAATGCGCACTATTTAATACTAAATTTCAGCCACTCTATTCCATTTTCCTCACTCGATTTCTTTTTTTTTATTATCGAATTTGGAGCTGTCAACTCATTTAACCAACTTGAAGATCTATCTTCTCTCATTAGTAAAGGATCATTTTTATCTGATAATGAAACTATCGTTCATTACCTATACTTGGGTTTTTATCCTTTTGTCAACGGTGCTGTGCAAAACCCATCGATCCTCAAAAATACATAGAAATCATGGCAGACGCGCAATCAATTTCCAATCAAGGCATTACAGAAACAATTCGTTGTTGAGGAAGAAACGAGCTGACTCGTATTTCACGCAGAATCCGGTTAAAGAAGTGCAATCAATAATTTTAGCGGAGAGTATGAATAATTCAACGAGTTCAGGAATCTCAGAAACCCCAAGGAACGAAGTGCAGCTTGGAGAGTTGGCCAAAATCTTCGGAATAACCGAAAAAACCTCACATTTTACCAATTTCAATGATCTCGTGGATGCGGAGTCCTTTGAAAAACATGTTCGAGTTAAACGTGATAATCCAGACTTCAACGAAGTTATAAATCCAATTCCCGATGAACCTATTGAGTTACATCTCCAGAAAACTTCTATGGATGACGACAATTCGATATCAAAGAATCATTTCGAAGATGTTTACCCGGAATCTGCTGGACTAATCGACTACGACACACCACTCACTCGAGTTCTCAAAACAAAACGAGAAATAAGGAAAGAGTCTCTTCCGACGGCTGACAAAAATCTCGAGGGTACAAAGAGCAGGGAAGAACGCAAGAAAAGTTCCAACAAGATTGGTGACTTCAGCGATGTCCATGAGAATGAGTTAGTGAAGAGTAAATTGAATTTGAAAACGATACAAACTAGATCCATCGAGGAAGCCAAAGAGCTCGCTAGCAAATTAGTTGCCAAGGTTTTTTCTTAATTTATACGGAACTCACCTAACTTGTCTAATGTTTCCTCACTCCATACACTATTTTCCCCCTTCAGGTTAATGAAATTGAAAATTTAATGGATGGATCTTCATCATCATCTTCAGCCTCGTGGAATGAAACGAAGGCTCACGTGATGGGTCAAGTTGTGCGACCCGAGAGATTTGCTAATTATTCAGGTAAAGAATGACGAGAGAGAATTAAATTCCTGCAACAATTTAACAATTTTTTTCATTTTAAATCAAAGATAGCTAGAAATTCAAAGTCCACTCGATCGAGGAAAGCAAAAAGACGACACAGCAGAAGAGCCCACAGGCGAAACCATAGGAAAAAACGAAAATCCCACAGAAAATGGGATCGATGGAGTGATTGGAGCAGCTGCAGTGTAACTTGCGGCAAAGGTAGGCAAATACGATGGAGGCACTGTATTCGTGATTGTACAACAGCAGAGACCGAAATGGAGGAAAAAATATGTCAATTGCCTGCCTGTGCCCCTGGTAAATTCCTTGGTATCTTTTAACAATCAATTTTTATAGTATTATGTACTTATTATATAACTGTACTGTAGCTTCGGAGAACTCTTTTGAATAAGATTTTTAATAAGAATAATGATCATCCTTTACTCATTTGTTTGTTTTTCTTTTCTTTAATTTATTATCGTCTTCTCATTTCGAATATCAAATACAGATCGTATTGTACATAATATTGTTAAGCACACAATCTCACCACTATCGTCGTCACTTTCACAATATCAACGAGTGCCGGCTCTTCATCTTATTTATTTTTATTTTGAAAATCTTAAAATATACAAATTATCGTTTTGTTAAATCAATTTGTGGGTATAGGCGTTGTCCGTCCATTATTCACTTTTTTGTTTCCTCAATGGGGATAAATTATTCTTGGAAAGAACAGATCATCTGTTCCCTCATCACAATTTTTATTCACTCACTCATTTTGTGTCTTATCGGGAGAATGACAATTTTATATTTTCAAAGAAAATAATGCAGTTTTCATAATTGAAAATTCACTGGGCATTATTACTGTATTGACATTGGTGGTTTTCTCTTCTTTTTTTGGAATTATTTCATTGATCACTGTGATACAATAATTCTTCTTCATTTATACTGGCTGAAAATAAAATAACAAAAACATAATAATCAACGAACGAGATGGAATTCCCAGTGCTTTGCAGATTTAGTTATTTATATATATATATAAGTTTTATTAATTGGCAGTAAAAAATTGCGCTCTACCGCATAACCAGGGACATGGGTCACTAACCCTGGAGGTTCTATTATTTTTCTCTTTTCATAAAAAATTGAGCTCAAATGATCTTACGTGCGTGATAAAAATTGCGTTGACTTGTTCAATTTTTCAATCCATTATCTTCACCTTCAAATAAGAAAAAAAGGAAATTCGCTAGACTTATCGTTGTCTTTTTTGTTTTAGTATATTAAAAGAGTAAAAACTGAGGCGAATTTGTATAACAACGTTAATCAAGAATGTATGTTCATCTGTCACTATAATGTATACACTTTGTTTGTTATAGTTCTTTCGTGGTTTCTTCCTCATTACAATGACTTCCATATAAAATCACTTACCCGTCCCTACTTTGATACTACTACTAAATCCAAGAGGCATTACATAAGTTTCCTCCTCGGACGATTTTCCTAGGTATTTGCCAGCAACACCACCGGCTAGCATTCTCACGTCTCTGTCTGGATCTTGGCGTAGTACTCGCACCTTCTCATTGATCTTCTCAGCTTGTTCTGGCCCCAAAGTATCTGTTGGAAAAATCACAATAATTAATCAAATGGAATTTTGGGAACTCGATAATATTTAATTTTTTTTTAAACTCTCAGACATAAAAAAGATATCTTGGCATTTTGTCCTTATTCAAGATTCTACGTTTGACTTGAATCGTTTTACTTTTAGTACTGAATGAAAAAATTGAAAAATTGCCTTTAATCAAGACAATTTAGAAAATCAACAATTTCAAAACCTATTCAACAGAAACTCCTCTTTAAGAAAGGATAGGCAATAAACAAATACTTACTTATTATCTTGAACACCTGCGTCGTGAGTGTTCTCACAACAGACAGTCTGACATTAGGAACAACGTCTGAGGAAAGGCTCAAAAGACAGGGCAGCAATTCCATGGAGAATCTCTCTCCAGAAATAGCTTCACTGGATAAGAGTGACGAACAGAGTAGTGCATAAGTCTGTCGATAAGTCCACCTACTCGAATTGGCAGTCAACATCATTCTGAGTTCCTGAATAATCGCTGTGACGAGCTCGTCATCAGTAGACAGATACGAGATAATCTGTGTCACCTGAAACACCGAATCAAACATGAATACATCTGCAAACACAGTCCCAACACCATTAGAAAATTATTCCTAAAACTTCAATTTAGAAATCTTGAAATTTTGAACAATAACTAATTTGAAAGAAATTTCCAAATGTGTTGTTACGGAAAAAAATCTATTAATTTCTGGCAGCTATTGCTGTGAATTTTAATGTGATGTTTGATTTAGACAATGAATTTGACTCAAGCTGTTATTCAAAGTTTAATTGCCACTATCTCTTGAATAGGAAACTTGCATGAAACTCAATTCTTTATAATTCCCCTATTCACACATTTCTCGTAACATAGGGATAGCTAAATGACGAAAAGTATGGAGAAATATTGCCCAGATGTCTTATGATAATTAATTGAAAATTAGGCGTTTTCGAGGCCATTTTTTTGGCCATGACGTCATGAAGACGGTCAGGCAACGCTTTATTGGACGAAAAAGAAGAGAGTGGGGAATTGTCGTCCTCCGTTGGCCAAGGCGCACCTCAAGATTGGGTTAGTTTGGCTCGAGCCATTCTGTGATTGGTCCAGCACTCGACCATCTGTGACATCATTAGCGATTTCAAAGGGTTTGAAAGTTTCAACTTTCGACAATTAACTATTAATTAATGAGCAATATTTGTGAGCAAACGTTTGTGAATGAAAAATAAATTATTCATGTCCCAACCTTGAGATTAGAAAATTAAAAAAAAATCATGTAAGTTCCCTATTGCAAAAAAATTTCTAACAGTGAAGGATTTAGGATCAGTCTCAGGGAATCTAATTCGATATTCACCAATGCGAGAGCCATATGTCGAACAGCAGCAACTTTGTCAATAAGCAGTGGGAATGATAATGGAGCAATGTAGGTAGAAACATCCTGAGTACTGTAAAGTGGAATAGTCTCGAGCAATCGTCTAGCGACTTCCTCCCTAAATCTCCAATTCCACTCATTCCACTCGTTGTCCCGCGTGAGAAAACCCTTTAGTCTCGGTAAAAATTGACACCTGTCAGCTGGTTTGAGAACCTTGAGAAACGTCGCAAGATGCTTGAGGGCGCCTATCCGTACTTCATCAAGATCCTTTATGAAGCCATCATAAATCGGCATAAGATCCTGTGCAGACATCTCTTCACCGAGTATCATAGCAACCTCATGAATACTCGATGCCATAGTTCTTCTCACTTTGTACTCCCTCGCATCTGACAAATAACCATAGGCAGCCTTCAGCATTCCCCAGTTCTCTCTACCAAGTGTCAAAACAACAGCAGGAAAGTAAAATGCACAGAAACGCGGAATTTCAGCACTACTCAAATTCCACCAGGCCTCTGGATTCGCCATTGATACAAAAAAGTCAATTAACACCTGTGGTACGATTGTTTGACTTCCAACATTACTGACACTTTTGTTAATTGGATGCTGCTGTTTTTCACAAAAACTTACTTCTGATGATGTATTAACTGACACATCAATCGTCTCATTCAAGTCCCTTGACTCTGGTGATGCCTGATTATTCACGGCAATTTCATTGCTATCACTTTCACTAGATTTTTGAGACATATTGTCCACCTCACTACTATTGTCATTTACTACTACTACTACTACTGCCTCTGGACACTCATTCTGTTTATCTTCTAATTCTGGTTTCTGTGATTGATTCACCTGATTTTTTTTACCATCCTCGGGAATTGTTACTTCTATTACTGGTATGTTACCGTCATTCGATGTATCATTTTGGTCCTCGATTTTAGAAGATTCTGAGTTTGTTTCTGTGGATTTGGCCCCTTCACTCGCTGCTTTAACTAATTCATCGTCAAGGGGCAAACCAGGGGGGATGTAGTAGTAGAGAAATGGACTGAACTGATTTGGATCGTCAGTTGATAAACCGCCATCTATTGTTTGTTCGTCTACTTTCACAATTGCATTGAATTCTTTAATCATTTCGCCGAATTTTTCTCTTGACTCATCGTACTTCTGCTTCGTGGGTGCTTTGCGAGCTGTTATATTCCTTTGATTCGATACTGAGAGTGGAGAATTGAGCATTTCGGAATTGTTGTCGTATTCCTCGTCGGCGGAGGATTTACAGGCTGCTGATGACTCTGCCGATCCGGAAAATGATATCCTGAAAATTTTCGATTTCATGAACAATTGTTTTTCTTCTTATCTGTCCTAGGCTTTCCAGCACGTCAAGCATTTGGCAAAACAATAATTGTGGAGATTTTGTGAAAAATAAAAGGGGTTGGAAGGGTGAAAATAAAAAAAAATATGCGCATACATACATGTTATACCTGAGCTCGGTACCATGTTGATCCGTTAATACAAGTTCACCATACTGATTGTACGCAAAACCAGTGAATTGTTTTGCAAATGTTGAGATGAAAGGTCCCAGTATTTGGTATGCTGATAATCTGACCCACTTCGACTCATCGTCAAGAAAGTTGGCAAGTATTGGTGATAGGGTGCTACGACGATGCTCAAGTGATACGCAGCAAGCTATTGATACCATCACTTCGGCACAGGATTTTCGGACTGTCCAAATTGGGTCTTTGCAGAGGGACACGTATATTGGGAGCTAAAATAATTAGAAAGAATTCTAGAAATTTCATGAACTAATTAGTTTCTTTAATTAATGCTTCCAAAGTAAAAATTTTGCTTTTGAAAGGAAGAAATTGCAAATGGATAATTTATCGTAGCAAATGATGATCTGACAGCCACGTGTTAGTATGAATTATTCATTTGCAATTTTCTCCCTGCACGGAGAAAATATAAAATTAAAAATTACAATGTGAACATAGTAATCGAGGACCATACTGAAACAACTGTAAAATTTGATTTGTCTTGAACGAATTTTTACTCGTGCCAAATTAAATTTTACTTTTATTCTACGGCTTTCTACTATACCGACTCGTAATTTTTACCATGTTCAACAGTAAATTTTGAGTGTATTGTGTATGATCCTCGATTACTATGTTCCCACAGTAAAAAATAATTTTCTATTTTTTTCGTGTGTTTGATTTATTTGTCAATGTTAACTTTCGAATGAAAACCTTGTATTTGATTAATTTTTCGATTTTGTAATTTTGATTGCAAATGGTCTAGAATGTTATGAAATGTCAATAAATTATGTTTTTAGGATCATGTCTGTATATGACAATTTGAGTTTTTAGTGATTAGTTTTTAGAAAATTCACCATAAATAATAGAAATTTGTAGATAAAAGTCTGAAATTTTGATCATTGTAGTTATGATTGAACTCAACTTTGGCGCGCCATTTCAACCCGATCGGTCCAGTAGTTCCTGAGATATAACAACTTGTTTAAATTTTGTTTTTTATCAATATTTGAAAAACTACTGCACTGGTTTCAATTTTTCTTTCTTCAAAATAGTCGCCTCGATGGCCTCCATCTAGACCAATGGAGATATATATCCCCGTTAATACAGAGTTTGGAGATATTGTTTTTCCGTTTTTAATGAAAAATTTTTACGCACTATAACTAGATAAAAAAAATGGAGATATAGAGTTGAAATTTGGTACGCTTCTAACTTTTATAACATAAAAGGTTAGTATTTTCGATGGGGGCAATCGGTCGAGCGGTTTCGGAGATATGTAACTTTTTGTATAAATCTATTTCATTAAAAGATTGAGTATCTTCCTGTAGACGCCCTGTAGCATGTGGTTACGGTTGGATGCCTGTCACAACAAGGAATTGCTACGAATCCATTTGGAAGCTTACTACCAAGGGAATTGGTAGGAATAAAGGAAAGAAAAAGACTAATAACGCAAAAAGTCTCGAATCCCTGCTTGTTTTCGACTTTTTTTTATTGTACTTTCATAATGCTTGAGGACTCCTGCGTAATGTAAGATTAAATTTCAGCGTGGAAATATTTTATATTTTACAGTAACAAATGAAAAGCAAAAAACAATAAAGATAACATTTGCAACATAACATAATCGGGCTTTAATTTAGAAATTATTTTCTGTTTCGTCCTGAATTCATTCAATTATGACTAAAGAAATCGAAATTGATTAAATTTCATAGGAGTTAGTCAATGATCTTACCAATTTTTCATAAATCGTCTCCTTGGCCATAGAAACCGAAAACTCGCCAAAGTGTATAGCACAGAGTTTTCTGAAGAAGAAATTTTCATCGCAACATAGCGACAGGTATCTTTTCAGAAACAGTCTCTCGGCTGTCGCGGGATCAAGTAGTGGAGCAACCTTGCTCATACCCTAAGGAAGAATAATTGAAGTTGAATTTGTATTCCTTAGTGATAATTCTCCGTTGATTAAGAAAAAAAAGTTTGTTATAGGATGATTTCATTACAAGAGGAACGAAGTAGGACTGCTGATGAGATTGATCGTACTGTATCGCTCATCAAAGCTGGCTGTGATATGCATTCACAAAATCGCCACATCACAACCACTCTGACGGGCAAAACGGCCGATATTTTGATGTTGTGAAAGGATCCGCAAATCAAAGGTTCATTAATAAATACATTGAGAAAAAATCATCAAATGTTTCATCTTATGCTACAGATAATGGAATTATCTCGAAAGTCATGAACTTCGAGACAGAATGTCTTAAAACATTTTATATAGGGAATTCATTAAGCTACAAAATGGGTGTCCAGATAGTTTGTTCCGAAAGCACCCATTGGTATACTTTAACGCCATTCGGCACTGCATTTTCTTGACAAAATACCCTATTTCACACTCTGGAGTCTTCATTTTGCGGCACATGCAGTGAGATTTCGCATTAAGACTTCACCTAGAGAAATTATAATCACCACATTCTAATTACACGACATACATATTGAATTATACTAAAATTCGAGGTGCCGGGTTCAACACTCGAGCGGATAGAATGGTGCGATCTAATCATTTCAAGTCTGAATCAGACTTTGCAGTATAGCCAAAACCGAGTCAGATCGATGTAAAATGACGATAAAAAAAAATATACTAAATTATCATGTGCCATTCTAATTCTATATCGTGTGATCTAATTTTCACATTGTACAATTCAAACGTGTGAATGTTTAATTTAGGGTGTGTAATTTGACATGCACAATTCAAGGATGTGCAATTGAAGAGAAATACAGAATCCATGAAACGCGACCCGGATTAATCAAATTATACATGTTGAAAAACTCACAACAAATTGAACATTTGCAAGTTTGAGTTACAAAATGTGGAATTCAGATTGCAGAATGTGTAAATGGTTGCAAATACATTTCAATGTAATAGAATTTAATATGTATATTGTTGAATTAGAATGTGAGTATAATTTCTGTTGGTAGGGTCGCAATCCAAAGCGTCAAGTGTGCCACAAAATGGTGGGAATCCATTATGTATAACAGGTCGCTTTGCCGAGAGTATGCTGTGTCGGTATTAAAGTACACACATTGATTACTAAATGGTCACACTGACGATTGCCCAATCAACAGTGATATCAGGCCCACTTATTACATTTTACCACTTCATTTCAGAAATAGTAAGAATAGATAGGTAGTCCAACGACATCCAGGGTGTCTAGTGGAACATATCAAACATAACATGTAAAAAATTCTAAGCAATAAAATATCAGCATTAAAAATCGGAATTCTGCATTATTGCTCGCTTTTGTTGATAACTATTGAATTGTAGATGCCGCGACGCTCATCAAAGCTGGCTGTGATATGAATAAACATAACACATACAACAGCCACTCTGTGAGCGACGCAACTATCAATGTTCATCCGTCCTCGTCTTTCTCTGCGGCTGCCCAATTTTGCAAATTTATTAAATTTTTTCTTTTCTCATCCTGGCTGACGTTAAAAACGGCGATCCAACTTGTCAAAAATGGCTGTGATATGAGAGTAAACAACACGTCACAACCATTTTGACGATTGGATCGCGTTTCCTCCTTGCGGAGTATTTTCCTCCCTTGGGGTTCGTTGCGAAAAAGAAAATTATGATGAAAAAACGAATACAGAGAAATTCCCCTCCTTTTTCCTCTATCGTTAGTTTCGATGTGAATGAATTGTAGAAGAGTTCTACGAGCCGACCTCATCAAAGTGGCTGTGATATGACTGATAACATTCCACAACCAATTTGATGTACCGGACCGCAAACGATTTCCAAAAATTTCCTGAAAAAAATAGTCAAGATTGCTCTACGATGTTCACCATTAAAAAAAATATAAACACACCCTGGTTGACATTGGACACAATTTTGCTCATCAAAGCTGGCTGTGATAGTCAAAAATCTATAACAAACCAGCTTTGATGGTAAAAGCATGCCCTCGCCTTCAATTTCCATTCCTAAAATAAACAAATTGCTCCTGCAAGTGGTAAATTCATGGAATAATCCAATACGAGTGAAGTAAATAAATAAAAAATAACAAAATTAATGACAAACGTGAAAATACGAACGCCACATGAAAGACAAGGTAGTGAGACGCGAAGTGTCGCAAGAACATCTCACTACCCATGTCTTTCACCCAGAATCCGTCATTATCTACACTCTCGTTCACAGATAGCAATGAAAAATTGATTGATCATCTCAGTTAATCATTGATCAAATGAAAAATCATGGAATAATAAATGTTGGAAACTCACATCAATGGCAAGTGTGACGTATTCAAGTTTAGCTGGTTGCTGCCCCATCATTAGGAGGGTAGGCGCCAAGACGAATACAATGGAGTCCTTGTCCAGGAGACCACGTTCGATGAGCGTGAGGAGGGCTGTGTGGGTGGAATTTCGTACCTATAATTTGTCGTAATTTTATTTCCTTCGCTTGGAAAAACTGGGATAATTAAGATTTACTGATGAACTTTCTTTGAATCTAAGGGATATAGAAGTCCCTTCAAGAAATGCTTTCATAGAAATTACGTTATCCCCCTAAAATTTACATATATTTTACAAAAATTGATTTCAAAATTGAATTGACGATTTTCGTTGTGGCAATTTCAGTTATTTTTGTACGAGATAAAATCTTGAATCAAGAACCTATCATCACTGATTTTATTAATATCTCACCTAGTCAAACAAGAATATCATTATTCAATCAAGTATAAAAATTCTTGAGTTGGATTTTTTCCCCTCTTATTTGAATGAATTCTTAATATCAATTAACCTGTTGATCCTCATCATGAAGGAAGGTTGCAATTAAATGAATCAAATGATTCGATAAAACATTGCCAAATCTTTCAGGCGCCTCCTGGCATATCATCGCCACATGCGGCAGCTGTTCGATAAGTTCCAGTCTTACGATAGCATCTGGAAAAAAAAACATTTTTAATGAATAAATACATCGAGCAATGTCCCAGAATATTTGCTTTGATTCAATTCTGCCAACATTTTTGTAATAGCGGCAAATTTTATAGTTTTCATTGTAATAAATGCATAAATTCATAAGTACAAATTCATAAGTCATTCCTGGAAGTGAACACAGGTCTACAACTTTCTCTGGCTTGCCAGTTTTCGAGTATTTATGTTCCAAGTCCGAAAAAATTTCTTATATTCTAGGTAAAAGGACTCGAGGGATTTCCGAGAACCAGTTCACTCTTCACGCTCTCACCTTCTCACTGCACTCAACGCCGAAGAAGGAATTCGGTGTGTAAATTTTACGCGGGAAACCATGACTGAACTGAACTTATATTTCACGAGTTTTTCAAGAAAATTAGTTAAAGATTGATTTCAGCAATCTTTGATCGAAATAATTGATTTTAAAAATACAAGAAGTGCGCGCACCACTCAAGTCTCGAGCGTTCGCTTCGAACGCGTGGATACAACTGATTGAAAAATGCATCTTTCACAAGAAAAATTAGTTCCAGGAAGAAGCTAAAATGGGGAAGGGCCTCATCCCCACCCCCGAAAAATTTCCTTCATCACTCTACTGAAAGGGAAGGCTACAATTTGGGGCGATCGGGGCGCAGTTGTCTCCCTTCAATCTCCTCAACTCCCGACTTTTTTCTTCCTCAAACCCCCGCACTCCTCTCCACAAATTTCTTTAAGCAAAAGGAGCAGAAGGCAACATGTGCTGGCTCATTACTGGTTTTTTCTATTTTCCCTCTCTTCCCCCATTCACTGAAAAACCCAAATCTACTGACTAGGCGCGCGTGTCTAGATTGAGGGGTGAGGGCGGGAAAAGCTGGCGTTTTCATCATGAACTGTTGGCGCGTGTTAGACCCCAAGATGATCCTTGATCTTTTGAGGAAGTCGAATATACGACTGCTGTTTGGGCTGCAGTTGCTGACGATCTATCACTATGTCTTATCTTTCACTTCCTCTTTACTTGAAGGGAACCCAAGGGCCCCCTCATAAAGAACTAAAAATAAAAAACCGACATCTCGTCCTCTTCCCCCTTAATCTGTTCCTAGTTCGACTGATGACATGTGATGAAATCAAAGTCAATCCACAATATCATATTTCTCTTGTAACCATAAACTATCGTGTAGAGGCATTTCTGCCCCCCTTTTTTTTTCTAAATATAACATGCTTGCCAATTTATGACTTTTATCAGAAGTTTTGCCGGTGAGGTTTGTGGGAATGTGCTTATTTAAAGAATCAATGCTGTTTCCTTCGAAAAGAAAAATACATCCGAGTGATGTTTAATAATAAAAATAGGAAGACTAAAGAGCATTGCAAGTTCGTGGGGGTTCAGGCTTTAAAAATAAATTCCCCCCATTTCTCTGGTTTGACTCATTCTTAGATGCCAGGGTGTCTCACTTCCGGTGACAAAGATACCCCCGAGACACTGGACCCGTCAAGAAGCTTTCTCTCATCCCTTCTACCTACAATAATTTCAAACTGCAGCGAGAGAATATCTATAATGCGCTTTTGAGAAACTTCATTCGAGCAATTCGACAAATTATTGAATATTCATTGCTCGAGAATGCGCAAATAGTGTAATTCAATTGTTCTCCTCATGAGAAAATTGAATTGTGCAGGAAAATGTGAGGAAAATCAAGCGAAATACAGTGCAATGGCAACAATAATGAAGGATTTTGTCCATTTGTCATTAATTTCCAATCCTCACTGATAAAACTACGAGAACAAGCAAGAAAAACCAGAAAATTGTTATATTGACTCACCTGTGTCGTTAACCAACTTGTGAACGGGCTGCATCACCTCGGAGACGTTGAGCCACGTGCAATGATCGACGGCATTTCGAAAAATATCCACCAAAATTCGGCCTACCAATTGTCTGTAACAGAACAAATGAAAAAATTGTGAATAAAGCATTCGAAATTGTGATTTTTTTTTCATCAATGTCCAATTAAATTGACCTTATTGAATATTTTTAATGAAAAATGATAGAATTTGATGATTCTTTTATCCTCCCCCACCCTCATTTTAAAACGTGGACGGGGCGAGTTGGTATGTTAGAACGTCTTATATGTGACTGTTGAAGAGGGTGACTGGATTGAAAAAGTGGGGGAAATACAAGCGAGGGACTCGCGAAGCCACGCGGTATCATTGGCCACAGTGGCCGCCACGCGGTTGAATAGTGGGGCACAAGTGGGGGAGTTGAGCCGACACTACTCGCCGACGACTGTGGCGCGCTCCAGCGTCGCGACGCCACGCCCACGACACCCGCGCAAACATGGCCGCGTGTAGGCCGTATGTACCCACCGAAAATGCGCGGGACACACTTCACCATATATTATACACATATGTACTCTCTACATATCGGGTATATAGACGTATAAACCCTGACTACATCCCGGGTTAAATGACAGAGAGGGCGGAAAATGGGGCCTTCAACGAAATATAGGCTATTTCGTACCATATATAGAATGGAGTAGGTGTAAAGACACATTTCCCGGATTTTTTTTCCTCCAGGGATGATGTATTTTACAGCCACAACAATTTTATTACCCTCAGGGAGACTTTAAATTGGGGAAGAATAATATTCATAGATTTTTAAAGCTACTCTTTTGTATTGAGAATGCTATTTTCATTGAACTAAAAATTAATTACTGTCGTAATGTTATTCTGAGAATGAAAAGGGCAAAAACAACTCATTCAATCATTAGTGGTGAATGTAAATTTTGGTGCCTTGTATGATTGCATTCTATCAAATATTTCAATCGAACGATAATATCGTAAAAAATTGTTTTTCCATTGCAATAATAAAGTGAATAAATTACTATTTAGAAATTATTTTCCGTCTGGAAACAAAAAATTCACGGCGCCGTTTCTATATCAAAATTTTTTCATTACAAATTTGTAATTGATGCAGATTATATCCTCTTTTTGCTATTGAGGCAAATTGCAGTTGAAGTAAGCTACTTTCCCCTTTTTCAAATATTATGGGCATCTGAATCTTTTGAAATTCAACTTCTGAGATGCTACTTTTCTTCATTAGGAAAAAAAGCATCATCGTCCTCCTTATTTACCTGAAATTCGATTTTTCATAAATTCCTGTTGTTGGAGGAAATTGTGTTTGGTCGAGATAGACTTACGAAGGCCGTAAGTTTGTATTCTCTTGGAGAATCCAGCCAAGTTTAATAGAGTTGCCATACAAGAGGTGTATATGATCTCATTTCATCATCTATGTATATTTCTCCATCAAAATGGGAGCTGCCTTAGAGAAAAGTGTGCACATCGTGCATATTGACATGGATCAATTTTGTTTCATTGAAATTCGATCGAAGCCCTTCAAAAGCCTACGGCCAACCTGAAAGCCCCCACAAAAGAGCTCTCCTTGGTACAAAAAAGGCAGGGAAAAAAATAACACATGTTCCTGATTTCCCTCGCTCATCAGCTACTACAATTCACATTGTAAAATATAAAACCAACTCAATTTGTCTCAGCAATTTTTAAAGATTACTCTACGTGCGCCTCCAGCTCTCCAGGTGCTTGCTTCCAAATGGCAAGTCAGAGGAAACAGAATGGAGAAAAAAATGGGGGCTCAATCCTGTCTATGCATCTGTCGTTTTAGTGGATCCATAAATCAATCTCATCCAAACGTTTCTCCCATTTCTCCAGTTGAAGCAAAGGTACCATTGAAAATTCATAGAATGTATGAGCAGTAAAATCTAGGAAAATCCGAAATCGGATAAAATAATTGACGAATGGAAATCAGGAAAAATGTCAAAAATCATTCAATCCTCGAAGGTCCCTTTTTCGCATGTAAACATCAGAGGGAAATGACCTCAACTCTCAACAAGAATACTTAACCCAAAAAACTCGGAATTCTCTACCCATTCACCCTCAACAACCCCAAAATAAATTTTAAAAAATAGTTTCTCACATACACTCCAGAATCCATATGAATTAAAGATAAACGTCAACTTTGGCATTGCGATAGTTGAAAGTTCAATCAGTCGTCCATTTGCACTGTTGCCGTTTCAACAGAATTTGTGGTATGGAGATCCACCAGTGTCGCCCTCTACCCATCGTCTGCCGAGACTGGGCATTTCTAGAAGGTATTAGTGAAGGATAGAGAGACACGAGAGACTGGATGGTGCACATATACAGGCTTGTCGCGTAACCGTTGGAGTGCCGCGGCGCGCACGACAAGTACGAAAACGGCGAAAAGGGGAATGCCAACGCCAAAGGGAGCCAAGAGAGAAGTGAAAGGGGTGAGAAGCAGCACTCACTGTGGAGGGGTCGAGATGATGGGGGACAAGGATACAGCTAGCCACCGATGGTTAGGGGGGAAGTGAGCGAGAAAGAGAGAGAGAGAAATGAGGGTTGTTCGGTGGGGGAACAGAGGGCGAGGGACGGGAATACGATACGCGCGGAGGCACGTCGGTGTGTAGTGGCCGCATGGTATGGTGCCTCAGCGTGAGTAACGTGTGTACGCGAGAAACGAGTCGAGTGGAGTGCCGCGCCTGCGCAAACCACAATTTTACTCGCACTGAATGAACCTCTCCCACCACTGACGTTTGGAATGACGCTGAGCGCGCGAACTAGTGGACAAGCGAGTCCACGATGCCAAACGAATGTACATCAACAACACTTGTAAGATTTGTACTCTTCCGTGAGAGTAATTGTAGCCCTCCTCTTTGAATGTCTTAATCGCATTCCCACTGGACTACGGATTTTCATGAATTGTTCTCTCACCCGGTGAAATGAGGAATAAATAATAATTTTTCATTTTTCTTTTCCAAAAAATTTACCACACCAATATCCGCTCTCAAATGAGATTTTGGGGGATTTACGGGCCAACGCTCTCTCGCACAGCTCGGGGCTTAAGAATGCCCCCGACATATGCCAGCGTGTATGCAGCTGCGAGCGAAATCGCTATTGGGTGGATGGGTGACACATTTTATGAAAAACCCTTACCTGTACTGGCCCACAACTGGCAATGGGGAGAAAAAGAGGGGCTCTTCACCCGTAGGCTTCAAGAAGAGAAAGCGAGAGAGGAGCAATATTGATTTGTGAGGCGAGTGCACACACCCCTCTACTTTCTGGCGCGGTTCACTACCCCCTAAAGCTATCCTCTCTCTTTTGTCGCCCCTCAACTCGTTTCACCTACTCATGCCTTTTCACTCTTTTCGGTGCTCCCCCATCCTCCACCCTGCGCCCCTCTCTTCCGAGCATGTCCCCTGGGTTCTACTGGCGTTTTAACATCAACGGGTGTCATCGCTCGTCGACCACCGGTCCCCGCATTTCAGTCTACTCCCGGTTCTCCCTCTCTCGCTGTCTCCCCCTGCCCCTTTGGATCGTACGTTTTTTGTGTTACATTTTTCACTCTCTCAGCATTCATGCGGCGCCCGTCACCCCTTAACTGCGCACGATACGTGGTATATCATTTGGGTGGGTCAGGGCTGAGACGCGATGCATACTAGGCCAGCTAGATGAACGCATTAGCACTCTAGGAATTTAAAAACTAATGAATTCAGATTCTTCACTCGTTTCGATTAATTTTTTGAGACTCAATAGCTCATATTAACCATCTAGATAACAAAATTTTCAATTTGCCTCGCATAATTCTGCGAGGCGAAATGATAAAATTTAAAGATGAGAAAAAAATAAAATAAAAGTAAAGATGCGGAGGCTGGGCTCTCGTGTGATGAGAACAGGTTGGGATAGCGAACGTAGTAGGATGGGCGGGAAGTAGAGGGTGAAGGGAGGGTATCTCCTGAGACGAAGTAAACAAGTGGATGGAGGTAGGACGAGTATACGGTGGTCAGTGTATTTGGTACATTCCTCTGCAAACTGCGCTAACGTCGATAGAGATGGAGGCGAGCGAGAAAGAAGAAGAGAATGGCGAAGAAAACGAGGGTAAGAGAGAGAGAGAGAGAGAAGCGCGCCGCTTTGGACCGACGGACGCGAACCGCATTCCCGACCGTGACCTTCGCTAGGACATCGCCACTGTCCCCACAACTCCCCACCAACCCTCACGCTCGAGAGTACCTTACTCTTTGGGTACAGTACGCGTGCGAATGCCTCTGAGTCGTAAACACATTATCATTATTTTTTATTATTTTACGCTTGAGAGACTAGAAGATGCTAACAATATGATTGATAAAAATATGGCACTGAAGTGGAAGGGATGAGTGCAGTTATTTTTTTCATCAACTATCACCTCAATTCTCAACGTCAAACCTGTCAGAATTTTGAAAAGTGGGAGGCAAAGAATCCGTGCCGTCCGGCTTTTTCTAATAAACGAGGGGACCGCTCTGAATCTGAGCAAGTATTTGTCGAGCGTCTGACTAACGGGTCGTAGAATAGAAGAACGCGGGAGGACAGAGGAGCCATGAACAGCGAGGAGGTATTAAAGAGGTTCATTCATAGTTTCTCACTGTTTTTTACTTTTATTTGAGCACCTTTTTTCACCCTGCCTGCAAAATTATGTACCATGTGAACTGCTCCGAATTTTTCGAGGTTTCTGCTGCACAGAGTGAGGGGGCATAAAGTATCAAATGTAAATATTTGAGAAAAAATTTTTGAGTGTACGGTCCCGCCGATAATCTCAAAGTGGTTAGGTGTTAATAAAGAAGCCTTAGCCGCTCCAATTAGCATTTCTTTACGGGCTTTTTTTCCCACTCTTTGTAGATGAGTGTTAAGAAGTAACCGCGATTTAATGAGAGTCAAAAAGTTAATTAATTTTGCGCAAATAAAGCTTTTGGGTGAACAAAAAAAGAGATTACAAAGAGATATAACAGGTAAACAATCGACAATTCTCACATTCATGTGGTATATGAATGAGTACAAAGAGCACGAGAGAGGTATATTATTGCATTGGAACCT